AAACCTCATGGTTCAAGATAAAGGCAGTTTAATAAAACAAAAGCAAATGCTACACATGGGCCTAAAGGAAAACAAAACATTTATTCTCTACTACCCCTCAGCAGGTGATGTCCAGACACTTCTCAGTAAGTAGGACTTCAGTACACATAGCAGTTGCTTTGGAACACAACCACTTCCCCAGGCAGCCTATTCCAATGCTGGATAACCCTTTCCGTGAAGAAATTTTTCCTAATATCCAATCTTAACCTCCCCTGGCGGAACTTGAGGCCATTTCCCCTTGTCCTATCTCCTGTGACTTGGGAGACGACCGACCCCCGCTTCTCTACACCCCCCCTTCAGGTAGTTATAGAGCGCGATAAGGTCTCCCCTCAGCCTCCTCTACTTCAGACTGAACAACCCCAGCTCCCTCAGCCTCTCCTCGTAAGACTTGTGCTCCAGACCCCTCACCAGCTTTGTTGCCCTTCTCTGGATCCGCTCCAGCACCTCAATGTCTTTTTTATGGTAAGGGGCCCAAAACTGGACACAGTACTTGAGGTGAGGCCTCACCAGTGCCGAGTACAGGGGAATGATCACCTCTTGGGTCCTACTCACCACGCTGTTCCTGATACAGGCCAGGATGCTGTTGGCCTTCTTGGCCACCTGGGCACACTGCAGGCTCATGTTCAGCCGACGGTCAACCAACACCCCCAGGTCCTTTTCTGACAGGCAGCTCTCCAGCCATCCTTCCCCAAGCCTGTAGTGCTGCAGGAGGTTGTTGTGACCCACGTGCAGGACCTGGCACTTGGCTTTATTGAAACTCACCCTGTTGGTCTGAGCCCATTGATCCAGCCTGTCCATATCCCTCTGCAAGACCTTTCTACCCTCCAGCAGATCAACACTGACACCTAACTTGGTGTCGTCTGCGAACTTACTGAGGGTGCACTCGATCCCCTCGTCCAGATCATTGTAAAGATGTTAAAGAGAATTGGCCCTAGTACCAAGCCCTGTGGGACACCACTCATGACTGGTTGCCAACTGGATTTGACTCCATTCACCACCACTCTCTGGGCCCGGCCTCCAGCCAGTTTTTAACCCAGTGGAGAATATACCCATCTAAGCCATGAGCAGCCAGTTTCTCCAGGAGGATACTGTGGAAGACTGTGTCAAAGGCCTTGCTAAAGTCCAGGTAAACAATATCCACAGCCTTTCCTTCATCCAGAAAATGGGTCACTTTGTCATAGAAGGAGATCAGGTTTGTCAAGCAGGACCTGCCCCTCGTGAACCCATGCTGGCTGGGCCTGATCACCTGGGCGTTCTTCATGCACTGCATAATGGCACTCAGGATGATCTGTTCCATGACCTTCCCAGGCACCGAGGTCAGACTGACAGGCCTGTAGTTCCCCGGATCATCCTTCCGACCCTTCTTGTGGATGGGCATCACATTTGCTAGGCACCAGACGGTTGGGACCTCCCCATTTTGCCAGGACTGCTGGTAAATGATGGGGAGTGGCTCCACAAGCACTTCCACCAGCTCCCTCAGTACCCTCGGGTGAATCCCATCTGGGGCCATAGACTTGTTTGTGTCTAGGTGCTGGAGCAGGTCCCTCACCACTTCCCTTTGGATTACAGGGGCTTCATTCTGCTCCCTGCCCTTATCTGCCAGCTCAGGGGTCTGGGTACTCAGGGGACACCCTACTCCATTACTAAAGACTGAGGCAAAAAAGGCATTCAGTACCTCAGCCTTCTCCTCATCCTTTGTCACTATATTGCCTCCCATATCTAATAATGGATGGAGGCTGTCCCGAGTCCTCCTCTTGCTACTATATATTTATAGAATTTCTTGTTGTTTTTAACATCCAAGGCCAGGTTCAGTTCAAGCTGGACTTTGGCCTTTCTAATCTTTTCCCTACATAACTTTGCAACCCCTCCTTCTCCTTTCTCTTAGCTTTTACTGCTGTGCAGATGTCATATGGTATGGAATATCCCTTTGGCCACTTTGGGTCAGCTGTCCTGGCTATGTGCCCTCCCAAGATCTTGCCTAGCCCCAGCCTACTGGTGAGGGAGGAAAGCTGGTGAGACAGCCTTGATACTGTGCAGAACAGTGCTCAGCAGTAGCCAAAACACTGGTGTGCTACCAGCATCTTTGCAGCTACCAACAAAAAGCACAGCACTATGAGGGTTGCTACAGGGAAAATTAACTCCATCTCAATCAGACCCAATACAGTTATGTAGCCGAGCCTCTATCTATCTATCTATGTATCTATCTATTTATCTATCTATCTGTGTCTATCCACTTTCAGGTTACCTGCAAAAGCTTGACTGCTCTAGAAACATCTCAGTATAAGTTTGGAAGGAAACCTCTTCCTTTTAATTCTTAGTTTCACCCTGGCCATCTCTGGTGGCTGACTGCAGGTCTCCGATCAGGGCCCCACAGGCAAGCTTGATAATTTCCATGCTAATTCTGCAGGCCAGTTTTTACTGTCTGATCAGCACTAATACACTTGGATTAGCACTGGAACTCTCTTTCCCTATTCTCTTTCTTTCTGAAATGTGTACGTCTACCTCCACACAGTATTTTGCTATAGCCATGGTGATCTGAGAATGCTGAAGAAAAACAGCCTTTATGGTCTTATATCAGCTAGAAGGTATTATCTTTGTTCTGCCCATTGCTAGTTTATCGTACAAACTGCTAATGAAAATATGGGCTAGAAAATTGATCAGAATAGAGCCCTTAAGGAACTAATTTGAAATATCTTCTAAGTATGAATTTGAAACATTTGCAACATTTTTAAAAAGAACAACATTTTTTACCAATTGTGCACCCAATCATAATTTCACGTAGAGCATTTCTTCCACACTTAGTTCTGTATTGCTCCTAGTTCTCCTAAAAAGTATAATAAAATCAAATAAAATGCATATATTTTATGCCTTCAATCACTAAGTTAGTTGCCCCATAAAATAAGAAAATTAGGTTGGGTTCAAGTGACATATCAGCCTATTTCATCTCCATGTATGCCTGACCAATTTTCTAGGAACTTGTAATCCTTCACAGTTTTTCAAATATATGGCACATCAGAATATATTCAAATATATTCTAAAATATTTCTCAGATTACTGCATTAATTCTCACCCATGAATTATGGGTGGATTTCATCTGGAACTATTGCCTTGAATACATATATTAAATCTAAATAGTCTGCACTCCCACCAGCATTGTGCCCATAGTACATTCCCTTTTCCATGTTAAAATTAATTTCATTAGAGAATTGGCTGCCATTTACCTTTGTGAAGACTCAAGCTAAGAAAGTGCTGACTACTTCAGCATTGTCTGCAGTTTGTCATCCCTTCTGTTACTAAATCCCTCTACTCTTCTCTCTTTTCTTCTTACTCATGAGACTTTTGTGAAAATTTGCTTTGACGTCTCCAACTGAAATACACTTCACGTCACAATCTTCCTGAATGTATTCATCTATATTTTTGTTATTCCTTTATAGCAGCTCTCAGACACGTGCCAATTTTTCCAGATGTCATAAAATTATTTTTTCATTTTTTGGATATTTGAAGCTTACCTGATGCATACACCATTTTGTTCTGCTCTGCTCACTGTCTCTGAACTCTTTAAACCAGGTTTGTCATTATATATTTAGAATAGCCACTTTCAAAAGCTAACAGTTCACTTGAGCTTCTTTATCCCTTACATTATCTTCTGAGGAGGTTTCAATCTCCACCCCCTAGGTTGTATTGGAACTGTTTTCCCAGTTCTTTCTGTGCAGTAGTATAGGCTGTTATTTCATTATTACTTTCGTCCCCAAATTATTTCCCACATTTGGGTTTTCAGTCAATTCCTTCCTGTTAGTTAGATTTGAAATATTGCTTTCTTAGTAAAACCAAAGTTCTACCTTCCTGAAACCAAAACTTTATCTGCAATCACTGGCAAACACTTGGTTTGTCTGTGCCCTGACACATGGGATCCTTATAACCAAAAAGTTATACGGATAGTAAAAATCTACCTTATTACCTGACCTTTGGATGGTTCTGATGGTAGCTCAAAGACTCCTTCATCTGTCTCCTTTTCCAATTTTCTGCTTCATGTAAGATCCTGAGCATGAGACATTGTGTTCTTTTCCCTTTTGATCTTCACCCACAGATAGTGTACAGCCTCTTTCCTGACTTTTCCTCTTCTTTGTTTGATGCTATTCTGTTGTATTACAAAGTCTGTGCGAAGTTTTCTTTTATTGAAAACAGGAAAATTCAAGCAAAAGGGTTTATTTATTTTTTACTTTTGACTCAAAACCTCTCCTACTCTTAGCCTTCCTTAGGACTTTATATGATGTACATGGAATATCTTACCCTGTTCCTACATGAGAAGAGAAAATGAACTATCATACACTCACAGCCAACCAAGACAGAAAAAATAATTTGTTTTTCTCATGCATTTCAAATTCTAGACAGATAGAATCAATAGAAAGATTAAGGCTGGAAGGGACTTCTGCAGATCATCTAGTCCAACATTTTGTTCAAAGCAGTGCAAAGTTCAGAACTAGGTCAGGTTGCTCAGGACCTTGTCCTATCAATTTTTTAATATCTCCACAGATGGAGATCAAGAATTTTTAGTGCGGTTCACTAAAATGGTCTTGCATGTGTTTTCACATAATGCCATAATTGGTTTTTAACACATATTTTATGTATATTAGACATTTTGATTTCCTCCTGAAGCCAACAGTGACTGGTAAAGCACCTGAAATTTGTGCTTATCTAGTTGTCTAAAACCTGCTCTAATTACATGAACTTGTTATGAGGAAGGCCAGGAAGAGAAAGTCATGAGGAAGCTGACATCTAGCCTTGGTTTATGATGAACACTTATCTTATCAACCTACTGTTAATAAACTCACTAAAACAATAAAGACCAAGATTTAATTTTAACTTGCTTTACTGGCCTGCTTTAGCAATGGCTAAAGGTGATAGCTTGGAAAAATATTAATCAGAGTCAGCTATTTAAAGTCAGATCTATTTTTTGTCAGTTTCTGCAGAAACATTCATCTACCAGCCATCGACCATGAAGATTCTTAGCTACCTCCTAGCTTACCGAAGGTTCCTGCTCATTGTCCTCACCCCACTGCTTTTACTTCCACTTCCACTTATCATCAAAACCAAAGTAAGTGATCTGTTTTGAGAGGTAATCTTTTTGCATGGGTGTATGAAGTCTGAGATTCTCAGATCTTTTCAGAATTACAGAATGGCGTCAGTTGGAAGGGACTTTGAGTGACTTCATGATGTTTGCATTTTGGATATTTTATTTTTTTTTGTGAACTCAGATTATTTGCGCAGAAATCTAGAGAAGACAACAGCTTTAATGTAATATTCTGTGCTGACTGCATGAAGTTCTGAGTTATATATTTGTTTTCTTGTTCAGGAAATGTTTTTCTCCTTTAACATTATGTAGACTGCATTGACAATCCTGTCCTTACTATTACATTTTGGCCACTTTTAAACAGCTCTGTATGATTGGCAATGAAGATGAATTGGCAGGATGACAGCTGCAATTACCTTTTTATTTGATGAAGGATTTTTTTAAGTTCATCATATATTGTGTTGTCTGATAGCAAATGACTTCAATCAATGATCTGAGAAATTCCTTCTGGTTCCTAAATAGAGCAAATATTATGGCAGAACATAGTTTTATTTTACTTGGAATAAATTCTCTTGGCATTCAGTGACTCTTGTGAAAACTCCAGGTTGATGAATCAGCTATCTAAAAATTTCATTAATGATTCTATTTGGTATAGCTCTGATGTCAGCACAATGAAATGGAATTCTTCTGTGATGTATTATCACACATGCATCACACTTATTGTGTGTAACGGTGCATGAAAGTCTAGCTCAGAAGTCCTCGCATCTCAGACAGATAGTGGTTACAAAGCAACACGCTTCACACTGTCTCATGTCACAACTTCAATATTTCAATTTCCTCACTCAGAGGAAATCCTTGAGAAATTCTTGATGTGGTAGGACTTAAGTGAGATGAACATTTGTTAGGTGATAAATGAATTGACACTATCAAATTGTTTCATACATAACACAAGCTTCTCCCAAAAAATAAATGTTAGCCATAGCTGACAGAATTGGATTTAACATTGTTGTTTTCCAGTCAGAGGTTCCCAGAGCCACTTCATTAAGTTATTTCTTTCCCAATACAAACCTCAAAATCTGCTGCTGTTGAGTAGTTTCATGCCCTAACCAGTGGCGTTAAAATATCTAAACATTTTCCTCAAGAGCAAAAATATAAATCAAAACTACACAAAAGAGGTTTCTAGGATTCTAGAAGAAGCTAGGCTCACTTCACCTCATTATATTTGGCTGTGGATGCATTTTACAGTCAGCAGTGAAGTAAATTCTCCTGAAAAAAACTGAAAAAACATCCTGTTTTCCAGTTAAATAAAAGACACTAAAATTACAGTCTTAAAAACAACTGTGTTTCTTGTCAGTCTTGCACAATGCATTTTATATTAGATTATATCCTTGCCTTTTTGATGCTGATGACAAAATTTCATTGAATATAAGAGAGACAAAATTTTGCCTATTGTTGACTGCCACTGCTCCTAGAGGTTTAAAGGTTTGCTTGCAGCTGCAGCATGCATGTGAGTTATGTTAATTCCTGGTCTGAGAATGCTCCAGAATGACCTGTGTGATTAATTGTGCTTGAAGGAAAAGACAGCTGACTTTTTTTCCAGGTTTCATAAGTGGTAGAATTTAAGTAATTTTACTATGTCTTTAAAAAAAAACAAAACAAAACAAAACAAAACCAAAACATAAAACAAAACAACGTTTCATATTTTAGCAGAATTATCAATACCAGACAATAAGTAGCCTACATTCAGGTCCCTTGACTCACACAAGTTCCAGGTGGGGAAAATCTCTTTACAGACATAGCTGGGTTTTTTGCAGTTGTGATTCTTTTCCTGGATGATCCACTCATATTTTTGTTGATGCCTTTTGTGTTCTAGGCAGCAGAATGTGCATACACGTTGTTTGTAGTTGCCATCTTCTGGCTCACAGAAGCTTTGCCGCTGGGTGTTTCAGCTTTACTCCCTGCCTTTATGTTCCCGTTGTTTGGTATAATGCAATCCAAGGAGGTAACCCTTTTTTTCCTCTCTATCATATGGATTTCAATGATAAAATCTCCAAAGAAAGAACCACATAATGTTAACACCTGATGGACTAATCCGGGGTTTTGCTGAGTGCCAATCACAGTGGGTCTGCTTCAAGGTTTGCTTGCATGCTTTGTCCTCAGGACTTGTTCATATTTCTTTAATATTTTTCTCCAGATTGTGATTCAGCCCTTAGATGCCAGTCGATGGGAAAGTGCTAGACAGATATAAAATATCCTTAACATTACAGAAGTGAGATGACACACTAAAGACCCCATGTGCAAAATGCTGAGTATACATCTTCATGTCAAATAGAGAACACCACAGATCATCATACTCTAAGTCTATATTTAAAGTTGTTCTTTTATCTGTTGGATGGATTGATAAATTTATAAAAGCAGCATTTAATTGGTAATTTAGTTCATATGTGAGATGTGACTGATTATCTTAGGTTGTTCATATCATAAGCGTTAATTTTTCTTTTTATTTTAACACTATGGGCTTTAGTGCAGTTATTCTTGTATCATTTGGTTAAATGAAATTATCAGTTTCAATGAAATGAACAGTCTAAATTTAAGCCCAAACTATTTCTTGATATCTATTTCAATATATATCCTTAATGAATTTTTTTTTTCATTAACCTGATAATGCCAAATACTAACAGAACACCATCATTTAGTTACCAAAATATTTTTTGTTTTTATTTCAGGTGGCATCTGCTTATTTTAAAGACTTTCACCTGCTTCTGATTGGAGTAATTTGTTTGGCAACATCAATAGAAAAATGGAATTTCCACAAAAGAGTGGCTTTAAGAATGGTGATGCTGGTGGGTGTCAACCCTGCATGGTATGTGCTAAAAAAATGTCTTGAAGGCAATATCACTTGTGGAAAGCTATGTATTCCAGAACTCATTGCCTACTACTTTTTCTGTAGTAGAAGTCCAACCTTTATTTTCTACTGAAACAAAGTAGAAGATGTGATTGATTTTTAAGTGACACTTGATTATTTTGCTGAAATCCTAATTGAAATTTCCCTATAGTGATTCTGTTCATAATAAGGAACCTTCTGAACAAAAAATCTGATGAATTTTTTAATAACATAAGGGTCCTGTTTCTTAATTATGGCAGTATATTACATACCTAACGACTACAACTGAAAATCTGTGCTATACTTATTATTAATTCATGTTTCAATACTTTTTGCAAAATTCTGGACACTTCCTAAAAACACAAGAATAGTCTAAATACGGTCATAAGATTAAAGATGTGGTGGGAAAGGAAAAACACATTAAGCCAATGTCTTTATTTATGTTTTCTTCTTTGTCTACTTATGAAGAAAATATGAAAGGAATAGGAACTTCGCCAGCTGGATGATGTGATGAGGGAAATGAAATCTCACACTCTCTATTCATGCACTATCAGCATGTCTCTTACGAAGTGAAAGCTCTTCTCTTTGCTTGTTTCACAAACTTACAGAAAAGCTTTGGGCCCACAGATTCATCACTCAGCATACCAGTAAGGCTGCAGATAAGATCTGTAGACCAAGTCTGGTTTTCCAGAATGCATTATGCTTATAACTCCTTGTCAGGAAACAGACAGTGACGGGAAGTAAAAAGTCAGAAAAACAGAAACCCCGGTCTAAGAAAAAAGATGCCTCTTAGATGACCTAATAACACCTCATAAAAATGCTGGATTACTTCTATTCCTCAGTTATTTTTCTGTCTTAATTTTAAATATTGCATGTATTCTGATTTTGAGTGCATCTTTTGGTGGTCTGTAGCTTTTCTCTTTGACAAAATGTTCCTTATATTCTCGTTCAACTGTTTCCCTTTTATCTTTAGCTGTATTCATGAGCTATGCAGTTTTAGTTATTTCAACTTCTCTTTTTTTTTGATCACTCCTAAATCCTCACCTTTTGGCTGAAATCTTGAAAGGGAGAACATGAGTGGATGGTGTGCTAAGCCGAACACTGCTGGGGAATTTGCTGTGGACGCAGAAACCCGCAGACAGCTGCTGAGGATACCTAGAGCAACTTCACACAGCCCACCTTGTAACGCTGAGGAAGCAGTATTCCTCATAACTATTTCAGCCCTGTCACATTTCCCAATCATGGCAAGAGGATGATAAGATTATGATAAGATGATCTGTGAGGGAGAGGATCCTCCCACCTCTCAGCATCTGTTGCTCGTTAGCTGTGCCCACTGCAAAGTGAGGCACGCTGTTCTCTGTGCAGAGCCCTCCTCCTCTGCTAGCAGGAGTTCCCAGCTGGCCTGTGCACACTGGAGCTTCATCCAGACAAGGTACAGATATCACTGCAGGCAGTTTCTGCATTAGAGGACATGGGTAATGAAGCAGTGGAAGTAGGGTAGCAGGAGTCTGATGGATTCTGCATTCTTCTGGAGAAACTGGCTTGTATCAGAAATAGTGTGGCCAGCAGGACTAAGGAAGTGATTGTCCCCCTGTACTCAGCAGCGGTGAGGTCCCATCTCAAATACTGTGTTCAGGTTTGGGCCCCTCACTACAAAAAAAGATATTGACGTGCCGCAGCACATCCAAAGATGGGCATCAAAGCTGATGAAGGGTCTGGAGCACAACTCTTCTGAGGAGCAGCTGAGGGAACTGGAGTTGTTCAGCTTGGAGAAAAGGCGGCTGAGGGGAGACCTTATTGCTCTCTACAACTGCCTGAAAGGAGGGTGTAGCGAGGTGGGGGTCAGTCCCTTCTCCCAGGTAACAAGCAATAGGACAAGAGGAAATGGCCTCAAGTTGCACCAGGCGAGGGGGCTGCTTGGATATTAGGAAAAATTTCTTCACAGAAAGGGTTATAAAGCATTGGAACAGGATACCCAGGGAAGTGTTTGAGTCACCATCCCTGGAGGTATTTAAAAGACATATAGATGTGGTACTTAGTGGTAGATTTGTCAATGCTAGGTTAAAGGTTGGACTTGATGATGTTAAGGGTTTTTTCCAATCTAAATGATTCTATGATTCTATGACTTCCTAAAGAAGTCCTGTCATTTGAGCTATGCAGTCTGGTCTACAGACTAACAGGGAAATATGAATATGTCTGTGCAACCTGCAAGGACTAGATGAGTAATAAAAGACCGATTATAGGTAAATGTGACAGAAGTTATTATCCAATGTTCCATGAAGATTATTTTTTAACAATAGCATAGGGAGAATAATGCAGAAAAACTGGGACTGAACAGATTAGGATATATTTTATTATTTTTAAAATCAATTTTAGAATCACTCATTAGATTGCACCACATTGTACTAAATGGTCACCTGACCATCAGTCCATCAGATGCTGGAAATTTATGATGAACAGTTTTGAGACACGTTAGTGAATGTCTTCATTTGCTTTGAGTTTAAAACCTCATGCAAGTTGTACTGAAATTATATTTCTCTATAATGTGAACATTCTTATTCAGTGTGCTCAGTATGACCAATATTTTCTGCATAAAAATTTCTCCTGAAAGCCCAAGTCTTCTCCAACTTCCATCTGAGGACTTAATCAAAAACTACATAAAGTTAATGGGCTTTACTGTAACACCACAGTCCCTTCACTCACAGTTGTTTCCTCACAGTGGTGATGCATAGAAGGTGTTTAATAACACTGGCAACACCTTGGGACAGGGAGTGAAGAGGACTACTCTCATTTACAACATCAAAAGATGCATTAAAAATGACAATGTGGTCTGTATTCTAAAATTACCGTCCAGCTTCATCAGATGCAACATGGAATATTTGAGTTTTTTAGTGTAAAACTAGAATCACTCCAGTCACTGATGCAATTGAGTGCATTGCATCTGTTCAATCAGGAATTGCACAGATACAATTCCTATTTGGTAGTAAACTTAGCACAAGCTGTGCTAAGACCAGACTAAAACTTTGTAATAACCTTCACTTTCCCATTTAGCATCAAATATGATGTTTATTGAAGCCCAAGTAATCCCTATGCCTGTTTCGGGGTGCTGATTAAGAACCAAGCTAAGTGCTACCTACTGAATTGCTAATATTTGTTCCTAAAGGACTTACAGCCTAAGTGATACGTCCAGGGTTTTGATCTAGCTTGTACAATACAGGATTAATAGCATTAGCAGTACAGCCATTTTAATTTTCATTTGAACTTGTGACATGCATGGTGCTCTTCAAAGATGATTCAACTACAGTATCAATCTGCAAATAATCTGTCAAGGTTTAGGCTGGGCTAGCCACTAAATGAATGACATTATTGCTTCCTTTTTGATTTATAACATATTTGAACCTTTAACTCTAAAATCTGTGTGTCTTTTCAGTGTCTTTGATCAAGGTGATTTTAATTCATAAACGTCTTCAGAGGTCAATTGTAAGCTTTAAATTTTCAGTACAACCTTTAAATTTTGAGTGTTTCCTACATGCAAGCTTTCTGTTGAAAAACCTTTCCATTTATATTAAATAGAGCAATGATAGGAGGTGTTGCTATATCAGTCACAAACTCTTCTCTCCTGTTTCAGGCTTACACTGGGTTTCATGGTTAGCTGTGCGTTCTTGTCAATGTGGCTCAGCAACACCTCTGCTGCTGCCATGGTGATGCCAATTGTAGAGGCTGTAGCTCAGCAGATCATCAGAGCTGAAACAGAAGCTGATGCACTGGAGATGTCTTGCTCTAATGGCTCCACCAACCCCGCACTGGAGCTAGACGGTAGGCATGCAGTGCAGTCTTTCTTTGCCCACCTTCACTCTGCAGCAGGATAGATATGACATGAAATAAAGTTGAATGCCTAGGGAAATATTATCATTACGTGCTTCATTGTGGTGAGGGTGGTGAGGCACTGGATTGGGTTGCCCAGAGAAGTTGTGGATGCCCCATCCCTGGAAGAGCTCAAGGTCAGGCTAGATGGGGCTTTGAGCAATCTGGTCTACTTGGAGGTGTCCCTGCCCGTGGCAGGGTGGTGGGAACTCAATGAAGAGAAGAGGAAGAGGAAGAGGAAGAGGAAGAGGCTGGCTTGTTCAGCCTAGTAAAATGAAGTCTGAAAAGAAATATGACTACAGGCTACAAATACACTAGGAGTTAAATACTAGCAAGAGAAAAGAGATCATTAAGCTTGTTGGGGTAATGCCGGGAGAACAAATGAATTTAAATTAGTTATGTACACAGCTGGATTGTAAATTAGGAATGGATTTCTCATCAATAAAAAAGTAAGACTTTGGGGAATAGGAGCCATGAAGGAGTACAGCACAACTTAGCTGTTTTTAAGACTGGCACTTGTAAATGTATTCATGGAATGATGGGAAGTGGTTGCATGAAATGGGACGTGCTGATGGAGCCTTTCCAGTTTTGCTCCCTTAAATACTTATCTGTCTTTCCACCAATATCTTACAGAAAATGTAGGAGAATGTCAAAGCAGTGACTGGAAAGAGAAAGAAAAACAAGTTAATGGGTAATAGTTATTCCTTTACTAAATTCTGCTCTAAAAAATTCTCTAAATAGAATACCTGATTATTACAATATATACCTTTGTTTTTCCAGATATGACAATGATGTGAGTGTTATTGTGTGCACAACTGAAAAGGAAAATGAAAAAGACAAGGAACAGGTACCTAAGATGACTTTTTTTTTTTTTTAAGTGCAGGTAATGTGTGTTTAACCTAAGTCTCACTCCTATGCAACACCTAACAATGCACAGCCAGCAATGAATTCATGTGATTAAGATACATATGTGTAGATACACGTACACATCCAGTTTGCATATTTAGTTATTTCATTAGTGGTTTTGTGCTTCCAGTGTATTATATGAAAGTTAAACCAACCTCACCAGAGAACAAACTCTATATATCAGGAGTATATATATATATCAGTACAGCTAAAGGAAGCTCCTGTGTGGAGACTGAGACAGCTCAGACAAAGGACTTCAGGATTTGACTTTCCACTCTTCTCCTTTGAATGAATAATCATAGTACCACTGTAACAGCAATGCAGATCACACAACACATGGCTATATTGCCACCAAATTCTCTGGCTGTTCTGGGACATCCTTGAATCCTGTTTTTGTGCTTGATGATGAGCCTTTCTTATATATTAATTGGTGTATATTCTTTCTAAGGAAAACCTACCACCTGCTGAAACAAGGAGAAAAAGCAGAGAGGACAAATACAGTGGGGTTTTTAAAGTGATGTGCTTATGTGTTGCTTATTCTGCTACCATTGGAGGGCTGACCACAATCACAGGAACGTCAACTAATCTGATTTTTGCTGAGCACTTCAATACGTAAGAGACCATATTGAATTATTTTTGTTCTTCTTAATCCAGAATTTTAACTGTTCTTTCTTGAGCTCCCACATGGCTCCCCAAAAATGCATTAAAATCCTAACTCTTTGATTTGATATTATTTGATTCTATTACTTCCTTTTTGTTATTTTTTGCTAAGGAGGTAAAATGAAATTGCATGGTTGTATTTGTCTTACACTGGAAAAGGCTATAAGTGATCACTCAATACATGAAAAAGACGACTATTATTTGGTTAAGTAATACTTTACTCTTCGCACAGATGCATGGAAAAAGGTAGGCTTTTCTGAGGAGGAAGACACTACTTAGCCTGAATATGACAGACACTATCTGGCCTTAAAGGACTGCTATTCATTTCTAAGTACAGCAGGAGCTACGTTCAGGTCTGCTTAGCAAAGTGCATCAGGAGACTTTCAGGAAGATAGTACATTGTGAAATGACAAATTTAGGTCCATTAGTCAAAGAAAATGTGAATACTTTCAAACCAGTCTCAAATTTTGCATTCAACAGGACATATTGGTTTGAGATTATTAAAAACATTATTTAATATTCCTTTTCTTTTCTAAGTAGAACCACTTTGAAAAGAAAATTGGCAGATTTCATTCCAAAGTTTTTGAAAACCCAATAGTTCTTGCTGAACTTTTTTTTTGTTCTACAAACTACTCGTTGCCAGAAACATTCCTACTCCAATTTTAAAATGGCAAAGTAAGATATAATCCTTCCACTACCCTCTGCCCACTATTCTGTACTGCCTATGGCAAAATGGTGATAGATTTTCTTCCAACCTGTGTTTCATGAATGGATTAAGTTTGGCTTCAGCATGCTGCTATAGAAAACTGAAGTGATGCAGTCGATAAACCAGCCTGTGCTAAGAGAATAGCAACAATGGAAACAGTATGGAAATTATAACAGATTGCCTGTTACTGGGGCCAAAGAACTACACAGGGCAGACTATGACATTATAAGTCCTTCAGGCTTAAACTTCCAGACACATAAGCATTTCTGGTTCAAGCAGGCTTCACACTCAAGCGCCTAGAAGAATTCAGATTGATTACTAGGGGTAAGAACTGTTCTTGTTCATTTCCCTGCTGTTGTAGAAAACTTGAAGAGAACTGGCCTGCAGCTGGTTTTTCAGTTTGTCTTAGCTGTTAACAATCTCTTCAAGAATGCATAAGCAGATTGTTGCCCTCTCACTGGGTCTTCACCCTCTGCTAGGAGCACGGGCTGTGCATGGAGTGCTGCAGGTGTAATCCAGTTTTATACCCCACCAGGATTTTGCTTAATCTTTACACAACCACTGAGACTAATCCTTAACTTAGGCTGAATCTACCACCTAACTGTGCAAATATTTTTAACTGCCTTGCTCCCCTTCTCCTTAGAGGCTTCGTTTGTATTTATGCCCTGTCTGAAGTGGGAATTAGCCTGTTAGCATTACTTGGACACCTTTGCAGTCTACCTTCATGTATCATAAGCATTTGAAGGAGGATAATGCAGCAAAAAAGCTGTACATACAGCATATTCCTGGTTTTCCCGCTCAGTGATAAAACACTTAAAATGGCACTGTGAAATTCCATATTCCTTATATCGTTCTGATTTTAGTATTAAATAAGCTGGAATCAGTGTTTACTGTTCTCTCCTTCCTGTTTTTTCATTTGTCGCATGAAGATGAAGGTAGTGTATCTGTGTTAGCACTGGAGCCTGTATGTTGCTGGGAATTCTCAGCCTGCTGATCATTTAGGAAAAGAAATTTTGCTGTGATCAAGAGGGCAGAAGCATCTCTGTCAGTGAGATCAGCTTCCATAAGGGCTCCTTTTCAAGACACATTTGTCACTTACCCTCTCAGGGTCAACTCTATTCATTCTTTAATTGTATGTAAAAGGACACTACAACATAGGGTCTAGAATATAGACTACTGCAGAAAAAAAAAATAAAAAGAAGAAAAAAAAGTTTTGGCTAAGACACTAAGCAGACATTGTCAGTTAGTAGGCTAAGGATTAGTCTGCTCACACTGCCCATAAGATACCCAGAAGACTTTACTGGCCAGGGAAGCATCAATGAGGGTGAGTTGGGTTGTTTCTCACTGCTCCCTAGAACAGATCCTTGATGATGCTGAGTGCCTTTCTTCTGACTCCATATTTATTCTCCATGTTTTATTTATTTTTTATTTTATTTTATCTCTTTCCATATTGGTGTTTTTAATCTTGAATCCCTCAAGCTGCTGCAGATCCCCATATCAGTTATATCACATCTGCAGTTTTACCTACTTAATCTTACATAGCTGTGGAGACTTTCTCACAGCTCTTTCCCACACAAAACAGTTTATTCAGTGCTGAAAACCAAGGTTCACAGCAGGGCCAAGGATTGTAGGAGCACAGGCAGCTGCACTCGGAGGTGAGGGAAAGGCTGTGGAGAGGTTAGAGAGAGGATGGGTTACCAGACAACAGCGGGTCGTGGAGAAAACTCATAGGAGTTCTCCCTAAGGTGCTTGAGAAAAAATAAATCCTACAATGCAGCCTTTCATTCAGGGTCACTGATGAGTTACTCAGTTTCCTCAGTCCTATTCTGATAACCAACTTTGACCTTCCAGAAACAAATTTTGCCAACGTAACATTATTTTCAACCTAAGCACTTTTATTAAAGTCATAAATGCAATAATCTTATCTGGATTCATTCTATGAGCCAAATTTATTGGTGTTTGTAGCATTTGCTGGAAAGAGTTTGTTGCTATTGGTACTGAATCACTGTAAAATACGGGTTATTAAAACCAATCACACTTTTTCAATTTCCAAAGGAAATAGGTCCAGAAAAAAGTTCATTGTGTCCTGTTCATTCTTGTCTCAGGCAAGACCTGTAGCAGATAGTTCAAGAAAAGCAGATAATCCAACTAAAACTATATAATAGATAATTTTTCAAATAATTTAATTTGACTATCCAGTCTACCCAAGGAATATTTTCTCTGGAGATGAAGAATAGCTGATTTTAATATTAAGATTACTAGAAACAGTTACATAGATATTCAGCCCTGTTGAAATCTGACCACAATAAATTAACTTTTTATAAAGGGATTGACTCTTCAGTATAAAGTTTTCAAGAGCTTGTCTTGTTGCTCAATAAGGAAGTATCTCACATAATTCAAGAAAGAAGATCATGAACACTTTTGCAAGTGGTAAAATGCTAAGTCATTATGATGATGATGCCACTTTTTTCCTATCTTGGAATTTGTACATTCAAAAATTGATGTGGCTGATTGCATAATAAAAGCCAAATAGCCATGTAATTAATAAATTATATATAATTATAATAGCACAATGCCTGTTCTTGTTCCATTTGCACTCTCATCACTATGTATAGTTGCAATTAGATGCAATGAGAGTATCACCTCAAGGAGTAGCAATTCTCCTCAAGGAGTAGCAGTTCTAGTTCAGTTTCAGCTGATGCTTTAATAGCTATATATGCAATCATTGTAAAAAATATAGATCAATTCTAAAATTTGCACAATACTTGAGAAAGCATTTATAATAAACATTTACTGCCTCAAAGATCTATGTGACCATCAGAATTCCTTTTTCTTCTAACAAGGCCTGAAACACAAAAGATTAGCCAATAATCAGAAATATTGGAACTGGAATTACAGCCTTTGCCTGGATTTGTTATTTCCCTTCCATCTGATTTTTGCATCAAGGAGGAAGGTTGTTCAAAGAAACTAGAATTTTCTGACTTAGCATTAGAAGCTCTCCCAGTAAAGCCAGAGGAGTTCAAAGGAAGAATAACTTCTGTTCATAAAGTAAATTGAAAAACAGGATCCATTTACCTGACCTTTTTGCCTGTCTGGCATCTATCTTGTTCAACTTCAAATTAATTTCTTTCAGAAAAACAAAGCCTATTGCTCCTATTCTTAAATGTACATGGCAGGGAGAGTTCTGGTTGAATGACCAGCATCTAAACAGTAGATTCAGACAGCTTCAAGGAGACAGGATGACTGGAGAGACAATCCACCTAGCAAATGAACATTTCTGCTTTTCCTGGAAATTAGTAATAATTTTGTTTCTAATCAGTTTTGAATCCCTTATGGAAGCTTAATAATGCAAGTCTCAATATTGTCTCCACTGTTGTCTTCCAAGTTCATTGGAACCTCTTCATTTCAGTATATTTTCTTGTGCTGAAATCTCCTCTCAAAGAACTGCTTTTCTTCAAGTTCTGTTTCTTTGTAGTCCTAATGGTCCTTAACATCGTGAGTGGCCCTTCCTTGCCTCCTGAACTCAGGTCAGACACGTCTAGATCAGTGTCAGATCCCCAGACCTGTTGCTGATCCAGTGCCCAAGTAACTGGCACAGCTGGTTCCTGTAGGGGTCACAATCATCGGGAACAGGATGGGAGGATGAGGAAGAGAACACCAGAGGCCACCTCCTGCTGAAATCAGCTGCCAGCCAGAAGCATCCTCTTGCAGCAGCGTTTTCTGGCACTTCTTACAAGTCTTCATTCCTTTGCAAAGCTCAACTGAACAGTTTTTTACTTTTATCCAGACGTTACCCAGGTTGCCAGTGCATCAATTTTGGATCCTGGTTTATCCTTTCCATCCCCATCACAGTTATTATTCTGGTGCTCTCCTGGGTCTGGCTCCAGTGGCTTTTCCTTGGGTTTGAGTAAGTAAATTTTATAATCAATAAAACTAAATGCTGATGATGTAAGAGAGATTTTGTAGCAGGAGTAAATATTGCATCTAAATTTAACAGGCTCAATAGGAAGATAATGCAGCAACAGTGATTTTGTGTCCTTGATTAATATGGATGAGTCTCTGGATGGGACAAGAATTTTCTAAAATAAGGATCCTTGACTACTCAGCCCAAAGTGAAAAGTCCATACTACAAATTATGATATTCCCTTAGAATATACAGACATCATCATCAAACAGTGCATGTGTGCAAGACAGAAGAATATTGAAATTTTTCACAGTTTGGTCTAATACTGGAACATCTATAAACAGGGCGTTGCCCTTCACTGAAGGGATTGGCTTGAATACTTGAGCAATATCTGTGTTATAAACTGGATGATTATGTTTGTAAATGTGAAGTAAAAAACTTCAACTTTTCCAAAATTTGTATGTGTTGGTATGAAAGGTTTTTCTCCCCCAGAGCTTGTGCTTTTAAAGTTTTTTAGGGGACAATACTTCTTTTGGGCTGATTCTTCAGAACCTTGCTCCTCATGAGTTCACTAACCTCTGCCAGAGATAACAATGGGCACACCTGTCTTCCACAATTACATGGCCATGTAAGGGCCAAGAGATGAAAAGTGAGACTCTCTACTCTTCAGCAGATTTAAAATAATCCTACACTTACCACTCCTTATGTGAACAGTTACTGTTTCATTTTTCTTGATTGTTTCATTAATGTTCTTTTTAATACTACATAAAGGTCTTAATCCAGGATGAAAACCTAGCTCGTACCAAATAGCCTGCCAATCAGTTTGCAGGCTACTCATGAGATACACATCTTTTTCATTACAAAACAAAGTAAAGCAAAGTCATAGATGACTTTCATTAAATAGCCAGGTCATGTATTTGATTGTTTCAATTAGTTCCCATGATTGAAGTTTCATCCTTTCTGGGCAAATGAGCTAGACAATAACAGCACACATTTTGTTGCTGCCTCTGCCAATCTCCCATTGAGCTTTGTCAATTAATTCCAATATGCTCGGCTTGGTGTGTGATAATTGAATGGGAGATACTGTATTTTAAAGTGAAAATTTTACTTTGGTAAAGTGTTATTGGTGACTGGAAAAGTTAGGCTTTTTTTTTTTTTTTCCTGTATACACAGTTAATTCATTGTTCAATATTGCTGATTTACATTCCAGTTTTAAAAACATGTTCAAGTGTGGCAAGAAGAAAACAGCTAGAGAAGAGGCCTCAGCACAGGTGATTCGGGATGAATACAAGAAGCTTGGATCAATAAGGTATGTCAAACTATGGGTCTGCAAACTAGAGTGAGTATATCCAAGTGCAAATTCAGGAAAATGTATAACCCATTCTGTTTCTGCTATAGCTACCCAGAAATTGTTACACTTGTCCTATTCATTCTAATGACCCTGTTGTGGTTCACCAGAGACCCTGGCTTCATCCCAGGATGGTCTTCACTTTTCCCAAAGTAAGTAATCTTTTTAGTACACCAATGAGAACTGTACTGTACCTTAGCTACATACCTTCTTTTCTTCTCAATTAAAAAAAAAATAAAAAAATAGTTTCAACCCTTCCAAATATTCCAGGCTGAAATTGTTGAAAGCCTTTGTAGTGTATACAGAAGAGGTAAACTCCAGCAATTTCAAAGATGTATGTGTGCAATATCTGAAATGTGATAAACCCATTACAGGATAAAATACAGTGCCTCCTAAGAGGATTTATGCCTAGTTTTTAAACTTGATCCAATGAGGGACAATGCATAATGATTGATGTTACAGCATCCTACTTCCTCATTAAATCTACAAGTTCAAGAATAAATCTTTGGTTAGAATTTTTTGATCTACAAACTATAGTGGCTTCTGCACTTGTATCCATACTGGCCAACACCCCCTGCTTTGACAGCCCTAATTAATGTTATAAATTACTATCTGTTAATACATAACTCTCTTAATGTCACAGTTCAACTAACCACCAAAATGCCAGGATCTATCGTGGAACAATTACTTTTTTTTGCCTTCAGCTGCAGCTTGGTTTTCAGTCCCTTCCCCAGGATCACCTACACTTTTTTCCCTAAGAAATCAGTTCCTCTTCAGGAACTTAGAATGCTGTGATATCTCCTGTTGTTTTGCTGTAATTACTGTAATTTCACTTCTGTTCTGTGATAAAGGTCTGAGTTTTGCGCTCAATTACCAGGGAGTAGTTGCAGGATTGGGAGGAGCAGGACTTTGTGCTATTTGGGCCCTTTTGGATTTAACATTTATCACTGGGTGGGTCAAAGGCCAGTGTTGGACTTGGATGGTAATTTCCCATTTTGTTTTCCTTTAAGTGTGTCATAAATGACACGTGAACATACATCCATCATGCCTCCTTTCTTTAAATATACTCCCACCATTCAGGCACACACACACACACACCCCCCAGTACTCTGCCAGAAAGTCTGGTAGGAGATATTACAAGAATGAATTGTAGACCTTTGAAGATTTAAAGTGCAAAGCAAAAAATTTTGAGTAAAACATAGCATTAAAAAGTAAAGTAAAAACTAAAATTTTTTTAAATTATGTTTTCATTATCTAAAGAATTGCAAAAGAACACCTTTTCCCCCTATAACAGCAGCAGAGCTGATGATCATTGTCTCATATGAAATGTCGTATTCTTGAAGGGGTTTCGGAGTGTTGACCTAATCAAGTAATCAGTCAGCTAAGCAATCAGGCTGGCTTTGTTTCTCTTTCTGCTTCACATTAACATTCAGTGCTCATCCAGCACCGTTTAACAAGATACATCTGATACTGAAAAACAGACATTGTAAACAATATTTCAAATTTGGGACTTATGGCTCAAATGGGTTATTTCAGTCCAAAGATCCCCGTTTTTTTATTTAAAGTTGTCTGTTTGCTGTTTTCTGAGGATTTTGTTCACTGGCAGAGAAAAGTAGAATACTCTCATAATAACTGTGTTTGCAAGTTCTGCATTGGGATGTTCCTTTGTGGATGTCCTCTAATATTTTCCTTGGAAGGGAATGCAAGCACGTGTCATGTCACATTAGGCTGAATCATGTTATAATTTGGGTGAGGTAACCTGAAGAGAGACAAAGCTTGTATTACTCCCTAACAAAACTTTTAAAGGAAGAGAATATTCTGCCCTCACCTATTTCTAGACAGCTTTAATTTATCAATCAATTGCATTAATTGACATAAAACCAGGCAGTTGGGTTTTTGCTTTCCTGGACAACAGAAAACTTACCAGCCAAGACACATGAGTGGGGCAAGGAGCCAACAGAGGTACAGCTGGGAGTGAGCCATCTTCTTTAAAGAAGACAGAGAAGCAAACAGGAAAAAGAACTCAAAACCCAAGAACTGTGGTTCTGTCAATGGTTACACTGCGGTCATCACCGTTATGTCCAAGCAGCTTCTATCAGTGCACTAATTGCAGGTTATATCTCTTATGCGGGTGTTCCCCAGTGCCTCTGTGTACAAAATCATTCAGTGTTTTGGATTTACATAGACTGATAGGCATGTGCACAACACTCCTCAGACAACACAACATGTTTATGTTACAGGAAACAGCTGTAAGGAAATATTCTCTGCCCATAGAAATCTGATTTCTTATCAGAAACCCGATAGTACTTATTTTGCACGGGACATTCTCCCACAGTCTCAAGCCAGCCTCAGGGAATTTTATCACCTGTACAGATGATCTTTGTCCTAAGGAATAACTGCAATGTCAGAACTATAAATAAACTTGAGACCATCCATGGCCAGTGCGTGGGTCTTATTAGGTATGATTCACAGCACTCCCAGAATCTTAAACCAGAAGAACCCTCAGGTCATTTTTTCTGACATGCTGAAGACCAGAAGAGCTACACAGTTCTCTGTATCCTGGTGTAAATTTATTTTGCTAGAATGTGAATACCCAGAAAGCAACCAGGCCTGATTTCAGGGTGACAAAGCACAGGATCTTCAGATTTTGGAATTTATCCCTTTCCTTGATAGTCTGTCCTGGTGGATAGCAATCTCTGTTGCCAAACTAAACAAGACAAACTCGCACCTTGTTTTCTGTCTGAGTATATCTTCTAGCCATCTGGTTTTGTCTTTCCTGCTGGATTAAAAACTTTTCTGTGAAAGGTGCTTTAAGGTTATACTTATCTGATTATATGGTATAAAAAAAGATACAAATATATAAAATATATAAAAGATATCTTTATCTGATTACATCCTATTACAAGCTTTCTTTTGACAAACAACATGGAATGCTTAGTTTTGCTTGACAAATTTTCACCACTCTCACTACCTGTGTTCATGTTCTCAGCCTCTTGCATGCATCCTCACAAGTTACTGAATATCCCTTTAAAACACAGACACTGATTTATTTATCTTTTTAAATTCCAGCAGAAATGTTGGTATTTAATGAGGATACCTCCCTGCTTTTTAAGGGCTCCTTTTTTAAATGTTAGCCAACTTTTGATCCACATTTATGCTGTATCAGTATTGTGTAGAGCTCATTTTTAAGTAGCATTATCAGATACCTTTCAACCATACACTACGTTTACCTGTTAATTTTCCTTAAGAAAAATTTGTGAATCTATTAAAGACTAATTCTTTACAGTCCTTCCCTGAGCCCCATTAACTCCCTCTGGAGGCAGACAGCGGGACGCTTTAATAAGTGTTGTATAACACTACAGAGAGCAGCACAAGGTAAAACCGCCTGTTTCCTCCCCATCTGTTGACAGCAGAGGATTACACATCATTTCTGTTACAGCAGTTTCCTTCCATGTTCTGGCTTGATTCCAGGCTGTAGGGTATTAGCTTCAGTTAGAGGAGTTTGAAGTTGGCCTTTGGCCAGAACTTTATGAACCTCATAAAAACCAGAAAGTTCAACACCGGGCTTCAGTTGATTACAGCTGATGTATGCAAGGTGGGCTTCCCTCACGCTGCCTCAGATTATTGCCTGAGTGTATTCTTTCTTTTTTCAGTATGGTTTATTCTTTTCTTTACTTCCAATACAAGGGCACTATGTACTTTTGCCCACAGCCCTTTTCTCTACAACGACCTCAGCTGGAGTCACTCTGAGATCTCCTTAACAGCTTTTTTGCTTCCTTATAGGACAATCAGATTTGCAGTGTTATAAGCAGGTAGAGGTTGTACAAGCAATTGTATTACAGCTGGGATAAATGGACTTTGAATAATGTTTATCTCAAAATTTGGTAACGATTGAAAAGCTTCTGTTTGGAATGGTGCCACGTGTGTCTTCATAATAGGAGGATGTTTTGTGCGTCTCAAGCAGGTTTTCTGGTAGTGGTGTTTTTTATTATGGAATATTACGCTTTTATGAGCAAAAGAGGGTACCTCCCTAGTTCTACAAGAGGAAGAGCAAAGTCCAGCACATGGGGAGGAACAATCCCAGGCACCAGTACAGACTGGGGGCCACCCAGTTGGAATGCAGCTTGATGGAAAAGGACCTGGGGGTCCTGGTGGACACCAAGTTGAACATGAGCCAGCAACGCGCCCCTGTTGCAAAAAAGAGAAATGGTATCCTGGGTTGTGTTAGGAGGAGTGTTACCAGCAGTTCAAGGGAGATGATCCTTCCCTTCTGCTCATCACTGGTGAAGCCACACCTGGAGTGCTGATTCCAGTTGTGGGCTCCCTAGTGCAAGATGTGGATATCACAAAGATGATTAAGGGCCTGGAGCATCTATCCAATGAGGAGAGGCTGTGAGAGCTGCGACTCTTTAGCCTGAAAAAGGGAAGGTTGAAGGGGCACCTTGTCAATGGTTAAAAATATGTGGGAGGGTGCAAAGGCTCATCTCAGTGGTACCCAGTGACAGTACAAGAGGCAATGGGCACAAACTGGAACATAGGGGTTTCCTCATGAACACTAGGAAATTATTTCTACTTGTGAGGGGGACCAAGCACTGGCACAGATTGCCTAGAGAGGATTCTCTGTCCTTGGAGATACTCAAAAGCCATCTGGACATGGTCCTGGGCAAATGGCTCTGGATGATTCTGCTTGAGCAGGGGGGTTGGACCAGGTGACCTCCAGATGTCCCTTCCAAGGTCAACCATTCTGTGAAGATGCAGCTGCCTAAAAGAAAGTAGCATCATGAACTGTTTCTGTATCTAAATCTTGCCTTCCTTCAAAATTCCTAGGAAGTCTTAAGAAAATGCAGGATAGGATCCTCGAGAAAGAGTTTTTCTGCTCTTTAGACCAAGTGCATCTGGTCCTAGGCTAAAGCTGATACATAGGCAGAACCCTCTGCCTCAAAAACATGATAACAAAGTAATAACTTGCTTTTAAAAGGTGTTCTCTGTACTAGCAGACAATAGGAGGCAGGAGGCAGAACATATTAGAGAACCATTTCAACTTCTATGGCTGCTTCATTTTGTGACAGTGTTAGCTAAAACTATGCTGGTTGTAGTGTCAGTGGGCTATGCTTATTAAGGCTTTTTGAATCTCACCTAAAATTGCAAAGGGATCTACCAGGTTATACATTTGTAACCTGTAACTGGGAGAAGATTTTCTCCTTTCAGTTAAAAGCCCTGGTTTAATATAAAACCTTAAGCTGCTGGGAAGTTATGCTTGGACCCACTGTAGCTGCATCTGCAGAAGAGCTTGAGGTTGAGAGGACAAATATATTCATTCAGGAACACTTACAGAAGAACCTAAAGAAAATAGAAAAAAAATAATAACAAAGCTTCAGAAAATGTCAGGTTTAACTTTCTTCAGCAAAATTCTTATTCATCTGAAATAAGACAGACTGGGATATGCCACCACTTAGCAGTGTGTAACTGAATCAGATAGATGTGTTAAAATGGCCTTAAAGCTCAGATTTGCAGTTTACCTGATCTTGGGGCTACTCTGTTCAAGTTAGAAGGAGATCATATTGGATTAAGAAACATTAGTGCAAGAAGTTCTCAGGCACTGGAAATGACCAAAATAAACATTGCCTTTGTGTCTATCAGCCTAGTAGTGACAGCCATAGGAAGATGGTAATAAAGCTGCCTTCTCTGAGCTACAAAACCATCATCCTTTGTGGGTATGCCCAGTGCTCTTCAGGCCTTTTGGACTGAATATATTACAGAGCATATTAAAGTTATTAAATTTATCATTGAACTGTGAAAATTAGTTATTTAAGCATCAGTTTTTTCCAAATATTCCCCTCCTCCAGCTTACTTCTGTATGACAAAGTAACACATGCTTACTCAAGGTGCTTATTTATGAATTTAGAGGGCTTGCATCTACTATTTCTACAGATGTGGTGATAGACCTTGTCTGGCTGCAAGATGGCCACCTGGTTGCTCTCTCACTCCCCCTTCTCAACAGGACAGGGGAGAAAATAAGGTCAAAAATATTGTGAGATGAGATAAAGCCTAGGAGATCCCCTACCAGTTACCATCACGGGCAAAACAGACTCAATTTGGGGAAAACTAATTTAATTTAATTGCTAATTAAAGATAGAATTGGATGGGGAGAAACAAAACCAAAAAATGAAACTCCTTTCCCCCACCCCATTTCTTTCCAGGCTCAACTTCAATCCTTCATTCACAACTCCTCTACCTCTTTCCACTGCACCAAGCAGGGTGGGGAATGGGGAGGTTGTGGTCACTCTCTAGCATCTCCTTTCTGTTGCTCCATCCTCCTCCTCCCTCTTTTCCCTTGCTCTTCCTGACTACATATATTTATGTGTTTTTTTCTTGTTAACTTCTCCTTAGGTATAAAGGCTATGCTACAGATTCAACAACTGCCCTAGTGATAGGCATCCTGTTCTTTATTATTCCAGCAAAAACTTTGTCCAGGGCTTCAAACGGAGAAAACAGTTGAGTATATTTTGGTGTGAATTTTACTACAATAAGGTATCTAAGATGCAACCATATGTATAGCTTCTTGCACTTGCCGGAGGAATGTTGTTAAATACTAATGTTACAGTTAGTTTATATATATAAAATACAGGATAATACCTTACTGGGATATAAAGCAACCCTGGCCTAGAAGTCAGTGCTAATACTTAAGCAATATGAGCAGCAGAAGCTCTGTGCAGGAACCTGCTGCCTGCAGCCCACTGCACCTTTCCATTGACTGCAAAGTTTGGGATCTGAATAGAACTGTACAGGGCAAGGTTGGATTTATTTTTTGAAAAAGTTACTGCTTATTTAAGGTACTCTATAAAATTTGACATGGTAAATGAGTCCATTCTCATTTAATTTTTCACTTTCAAAATGGAATTTACCCTGATTAAAGGATACCTCCGGCTTATCCTCTTTATGCATTCAATTCTGCTGCCGAAATCAATGACATCTAGGGTTTCACGGGGAATGCAAGATCAAAACGTAAATGAGTCTAAGTGAAATAGCATTTGCTCAGCAATCTGTCTGAATAGTGTAGTTTTATTGAGAAAATTAAAGGCATTGATATCCCATAGCTATCTCCCACATAGCAAAGGAGGAAAGAGGGACCAATGCTCCGCTGGTGGAAATAGTTGTAGCTCTTTTGTCTTCAGGCTGTGACAGTTTTCACCAGCTAAGGATCTGTCCCAGGAAGTACAAGTTGTTGACGTGAAAGACTTTCTTCATGTTATAATGATGAGATTTTGCCTTTGACTATTTCCAGTATTTCCCAAGAACTTCCTCAGAGGGATTATTTCCAGATGTTTTTCTGTATGTTTTCAAATGTTGGTGGGGGGTTTGGTTTGGTTTTGTTTTTTTTTTTAATTTTTTTTTCTTTAGCTGCTTTTGGTTACACTCCACTGATTACTTGGAAGGAATTTCAGTCATGCATGCCCTGGGAAATAGCTATTCTTGTTGGTGGCGGGTTTGCACTGGCAGACGGCTGTGAGGTAATGCAATTTATAGAAGATACTGAACAATTAGCATGACCCACATCAGGAACAATTCAGACATTCAGTGAACTCACAGTTATTCTCTTGTTTTAGCAAGTTATTCTGTAGCAATATTGAACACAATAAATGTGACAAATATTCAAGACATTCAAAAAGCAGACTTACCAAAAAAATAGTTTACTTTGACTTCAAAGACTATGCACAATGATGACTACTGCTTTTTATTTAATTTGAACCTGATGGTGGTAAGAATTGTGCAGACACACTATTTCCAAAGCCTTAGAGTTAATGTCCCATGTCATTGAGGTACCTCCCACTTGGAGCCCTATTACTGGCTCCTCCAGTAAATCAAGATTGTTTGGGCCCAATATGCATATTACAAGTTTCTGATTATGACTCCTCTAAACATCTCAGAGGTGCAAATATAAATAGATGGAACATAGTTTGCATAAGTTCCTGTAAGACACCACTGCATTAAAAATTGTGCTTAAAAATATGTAGTAGGGATATGAAAAATATTTCAGGTATTTTCCCATTTACACAAATACTTCAAATTCAGCAGATGAGTAAATTGCTGCTCTATACTATTTATTAAAATTTCTTTTCAATGATTTGTAATATGTAATCATATTGTTATATTCCTTATGCAGGTTTCAAAACTTTCTGAGTGGGTAGCAAGTAAATTGACCCCTCTAGGATCGTTACCCCTGTGGCTGGTTATCCTGATATCATGCCTTATTGTCACTTCAGTGACAGAAGTGGCCAGCAATCCAGCTACCATTACGATATTTTTGCCCATACTAGCTCCTTTGGTGAGTATAACACAGGTTGTTTTTAATCAGAATCTGTTTTATCATCCATGTAATAATACAGCTGCTCAAAGCAGCAATTTTCACAAGTCTCCATAAAATACTTCATGCATTTTTTTGCTGTGCTGTGTTGTGCATTGGACACTTGATTGTTTAGGGGATTTCTTACAAGAAAGGCTGAGAATTCAGTAAAATTAGGTGACAGTTCAACACTTAAAAATTGACACTGCTATTCCTATTTGTGAATAGTCAACGCACTTAAAAATCTCTCTTAGTGTTTCTTCAGGACCATATCTTCAGTGAAAATGGTTAACACTGCAACTTACCAGCTGTCACTACAGAGAAAAGTGGTCTAATAGATGTGCTTTATATGTAATTCTTATTTCTTCTCTGCTTAGCTCAATTGTGTCATTTCTTCTCATCTTTATAAAAACATCCAGCTCTTTCTTCTTTTTCAAAACTTACTGATCATCTTCTAGTCTGTAGATTTTACTCTTGGCCAGCCTAGACACATACTAATGCCATTTCCCTCTCTTAGAAAGAAACCTCAGTCCTCACTTCATTGAATCCCTCCCATGTATTATATAAAAATTCAACTTTATCATCTTTCTGGCAGTGTTTTGCTTTTAGTGTCTGTGCAGTGCCCAGACTCTTTGCAGTAGGCTTACTTTATGGACTCAACTACAATTAGAAAACATCAGGTGTGAATTTAAAGTTGTGTAGCTATTCTGCATTAGAAGAACCACTTTTTTCCTCTCAAGTATTCCAAGATATAATCTTTAAATTGAGTTATCAGAAAAGACTATTTTTCACTGTTTAAAATGGTAGTTCTGTTCACAGTTCACTTGTAATATATATATATATATACACAACATATATATAATCAGTTTGTATTTATGTATTTCATTTGGCAAATGTGTCCCTTGACAGCTGTTCTCTCTCTTTTACTTTATGACAGGCTGAAGCCATTCATGTGAACCCACTTTTCATTTTGATACCTGCTACCTTGTGTACTTCCTTTGCATTCCTGCTTCCTGTAGCAAACCCGGCCAATGCCATCGTATTTTCATATGGTCATTTAACTGTTATGGACATGGTGAGTTTTAAGCAAAGCTCCCTAAAGGAGATTTTTAGCATTTTTAAAACTTTCTCCAGTGTCTTGATGGCAGTTTCTGCTTTCTTTTTCCTCTCCTTTAGGTGAAAGCTGGTTTGGGCATTAATATCATTGGAGTTGCTGTAGTTATGCTTGCAATTATGACCTGGATAGTGCCTATATTTGATCTCTACACTTACCCAAGTTGGGCACCAGACATTTCTTATGGAAATACCACTGGGCTGTAAAAAAAAATCAAAAATCCTGGGGATTGGTTTGTATTGGTTTTGTTTCTTTTCTTTTTCACTGACACGTGGTGAGTCACTTAAAATATTTTTTATCACCACAATAGGGAACCACATTACTATAAATGCCATGTTTCACAGTCCCAGAGGCTGATGATCCAGTTTGAGAGTCTAATCAGGAAGAGTGCTGGACTGTCTAGATATCATAAAATTAGATCAAGCTTCTAATCTAGTTCAGCTAGCCTGAACTTTTATCTCTTCATGTTATGAAGAAAAAAATAAATGTTTATAGCCATTATCACTGGCAGTTTGCCCCCATTCTCAGGGTAGCAGAGTAATGAGATTTAAATGTTATTATTTCAAACACATTTTCCTACTATTTGCTAATATCTGGGGTTTGTCCAAGAACATAATGGTTTTCTGCTTTCTAGATTCAAATGCTGTTTGAATGAAATGGTGTTGATCACAAACAAAAGATCAGGCGTGGGATTGTCTTGAAAACATAGTTTACAGACCTGTCAAAAAATGCACGGAAAATGGAGAAGAGCAGCATGACCACTTACACAGCACTTTATCTGTTAAGCACCTTGTAATTTGGAAGGAGAATATATACTTAGGCATATGTTTAGTCTACCTCCTTCCAGGACCGCACCGAAACATGTTGTTGTTATTCAGTATTTTTCTGGATAGACAAGTATTGATAGATCAGAGTTGATCTATATGAATGGAGACTAAATTATCATTACGCCTCTCTGCCAAAAGTAGAGATATATCTCCTTGATTAATGAAAGCACAAGATAGAATGATGAAGATGTGACACTCAATCCATCAATGAAGACTACTACAGTGCAGCTTCAACTGGAAGTTCATGGTCTCTACAGGACAGGTGGCAGTTTAAGAGTTCTAGACTGTGTTAATGTTGGAAACACAAAACGGCAATGTAGTCAAAATGGAAGTTTGAAGTTCAAAGATCTATTCAAATAATGATGTTTTATATGGTTGTTACATGTTTTTCACTGTGAGGACTACAGGATTGTTCTTTTCATCTGTTGGGAGGACTAGTGACAATTTATAAAGAGCGTTTAGTTAATCGTTGGAACCAAAGCTGCATGTATTTACCTTGGGTCATCCCCTGGGGCACCTTTGTGATGGTTGTAAACCATAATCTGTCTTTTATTGTAAATTATCCACTTTTCCAAACAACAACAACAAAAAAGCTCTTTTGTTTTGATTAGATGGTTTACATCTATTTTTGATAGTGCATATTTAGAGATGTCAGTCATGACTTTTATAGTGCCAGAACACAGTATATGGGATTGTTGTATATGTAGTTTTTTCCATTAGCTACTGCTTGCAGATTCAGCTGCAATGAGTTATTAAAGAAGCACTTTTTCTTAATGATGAAGGTTTTTTGTAAGTAATTGTTATCTGTACATGCCACCATACTTTTCATCCTGAAGGCTGCTGCTATCTCTTTAGGATGGCTATCTACCTTTTATTTCCCTTTTTTTGTATTTTTTATACAGTGCTTGGCAGAGTCAGGCTACATCCATGACCAGGCCAATCAGGAGCTGCCAATATACAAGTGGTTCCCTATACAAGTGTTTAACTGATCCCCTGTAGTAATGACTGTGATTACAGAAATGCAACACCTGGCCAAATGAAGCCTCTAACTCATCAGGTACTAGAAGGAAACGCTTATGCAAGTAGCTAACCCAAGACATGTGTCTTGGACTGTATTATACGGTGTCTTTCAAGAAGAATGTACAACACAGAAACAAGTAGCTCACCGTTTATGTAGGCTTTTGGTCCTGCAGGTATAGAGAGGAGAACCAGCTAAGAGAGTGTTCTTACTTTAAGGTTCCCCGGTATTGCTTTTCCAGCTGTCAGTAATTTTCCAATTATTCAAGAGTGCTGGAAACAGTGAATCATAGAATATTTCAAGTGTAAGGGATTTCAGAAGACCGTCTCATCCAACCTTGATCAAAGCAAGGTTAGCACTGAATGCAGACCAGGGATTTGTTTAGTCACTTCCTGAAAATCTCCAAGATGCAGACTGCACATCTTCCCTGGGTAATGTTCTCCAGTGCTTTGCTGTCCTTGTGGTGAAATGTTTTGTCTTTAAACATATGAACAAACGTATATTCATTTTAGTGGAATAGACTAATTTTTCCTTCCTTTTTTTGGGACAGAATTTTTTCTAGGTGTAAAACTGGTTGTTGTTTTTTTTTATTGAAACATGAAAAAGGGGAACAATCCTCTCTGTGACCTTACATTCATGACTCCCAGTGGACATGATGTTTTCAATCTCCACTGGTCTGTCTGCCCTACAAAGTATAAAGTATTATAACCATGTGGCAACTGTTTTTCAGACAGAGGAAATTTGCTGACTGCTTATGAGCTGTCCCCCAGTTTTATTAATGTTCATGGTACGGAATTGGCTGGTGTAACCTCAGCCTTGAATATGACATTGAGGTCTGCAGAAGTCCATGAATGCACTGCTCTGTAAAATCATGCTTTGACACCTGTATTCTCTCCTCAAGTTGCATATCTTCATGGAAGAAAATAATGATTATGCACCATTTAAGAGAACTCTTTAGAAGTTGTCAGCTGCAGTGTAAGCTGAAGCTCGATTTGTGCCCAATCGTTTTGAGCTGTTCGTTTGCTCTACGTTTTGCTTTATTCATAGGATCATAGGTAATATGATAAGAAAGGCCCTCACATAACACAGACCACCGAATTTCCCTAGACTACGTTTTCAGGACAGCCAGTGTGACAAAGTATTTTAGTAAATAAAAAAGAAGATTCAAATTGTTTAACGAAAGATGCACTTCTAAAAACTATTTTCACTACAACCTGTGTATGCAGTGGATAATACGCAGAAAGAGAAGGGAGGGATTTGTAATGAAAGTTAGTTAATCATCTGTTGGGCCATGTGCATTTATAAGGTATCAAAATGAAACACAGAATTATAAATAAACTTACTGTCAGTGACCAGTATCTTAACTGTCATAATGTGACAATTAGTACAAAAGTGAAACAATCAAGCATGAGGTTTTGAGAGACTGTATCTTGTAAGTAAACCAGTCATGAATAAAGGAGTTGGTAGTAGTGGGAAAGTAGGGTTCCACCAGGATTTTTTTTCTCTTGTTTTGCTAAAAGTTTAAAGAACAGGTCAGACACAATCTCTGAGCTGAGTTGTTATTATTATTGCTGACTTATTTTTAAAACTTTTAAGAATCTTTTAAGTCAAAATGAACAACTCTGCAGTGCGGAGACTAATATTGCTAGAACTTCCTCACCTAAGAGTGTTGAAATGGAGGAAAAAGAGAATTTCAACATCGTTGGCTCTCTGTGTACCCGATGGGGTATTTGGCTCTGACTGCCAGCACTGAGCACCGTGCTGGCTGCCAGCACAAAAAGTGCTTTTCATATGTCACTATTATAGTCATTGCTTTGTCCAGAGTTTGTGTGTAATGTGATGAATGGTGGAAATGCATCTGTAATTATTTTAAGAGTTGATTAATATATGATGACTGCATTAACTATTTGTAAATTTCTTTGTGCATAATTTTTATATAAAATAGTGTGTTTTTTCTTTGTCTCAGCCAAGTCTAATTAGTCTACTGTATTAGTACTTAAGTAATATTTATGACTTACTATTTATTTGTGGTGTCATTCCCGCTGAATTAAATGGATCCTTTGCCCTGTATTTCATTAGGGGAGATATGCCAGGTCATTGTTCTCCTTTTCTATGGCCATGCTGTATTTAATACACTTTTCACTTTGCTTTTGGAAGATGTGCTTTTTAGATTACCAGAAACCACAAAACAAGTGAATGCTGGAAAAAGCTTCTTAACTGTTCTATTACTACAATGAGATAGTCAGATCAATCTTGCATGGAAATCCTCTTATGTACTTTTGAAACGAAATATCTGTGTTTGTTTACTGCAAGACTCTTGCTTGTTTAATGCCACCCAGCCTGTAGCCCGAGGGCTCACTGAGGAGCACAGCAGCTTAGGAAGAGTGTAGCAAAAAAAAAAAAAGCCTCATACCCTTGATCTTACAACTTTTTGACTAGGTGTAGACACCAAGCTGGTTTGCATATTAATTACAACAATCAAAAGACTATTGTATGTTATGTGCAGTTTCTGGTAGGACCAGAAGGCTTCTAGTGACCCCTTAAGATGCAGAGATGCCCGTTGCTGGCCCCCTCTCCTACCCTGCCGTTGGCAGCCCACAGGAGGATGCCAGATGCCCTGATGATGACACCTTGTTGCCCCAGAGCTCCCAAGGCTGAGGATATTCCCCAGGGGCAAGGTCTGCACAGATTTCAGTTTGTTTTGCAGCTATTAGTGATAAATCATAACTTCAGTTACCGGCTTAGTTCATTGTCTCTGCAAAGTTGATTCGATGATTTATGGTTTTGAACAATTAGTGAAGTCTTGTCAGTGTTATTCCTTAATATTTTTGCCTTGTGTGTTCGGAAGCTGTTGTATGTTACTTTACCTGCACAATATTCAATTTCTGTACAACTTTCCTTTACAATGCTGTTCTACTAATTTTAAAACAAATATTTCCCAAATGCTGTGATGTCCAACTTGCATTTAGTGATAAATTATGAAGAGCTAAAATTGTGTTCTTTCTTATCTGTCAATAAAAGTGCCTGAGATTTCTTAAGCCCTTTGTATTGTTATAATATCTCAACATCTGATAAACATGGCAGAGAAGAGTACTTGCTGAGAATAATTTAAACCTACTGGATATCAAAGAAGTCCACTTTTAAAAGCATTCAAAATGAAGAAAGTAGGAATTCTGCTCTCTGCTAAGTTCCTCTACAAGCAGAATAGATGTATCACACTCTAACTGCTTGGTGCCTCATTAGAAGATCAGAAATCAATGCATATGCCTGTGCAAAACAGTACCTGAGTGGTTGGTGCTTGATTCAGTGTCCCTTGAAGTCAGGAAAAATCATTTTAGGAAAGGGTGCTAGAGCAGGCCCACAAGGACAACTGGAAGAGTCACTTCCAAGCATTTCATTTGACCATCCTTCGATGAAGAGCCTCAGTTTCTGACACATTCCGTTGTTGCAAATGTGGAAACTTGGGTGTCAGGCTCCAAGAGCAGGTTTCAGATTGTTATCCCAAAACCTGTGTATAAGGTATGGGGAAAAAATAATTACCATGTAAGGGCTGAAACCAGCAAGCTGATACACCCAAGCCAACCAAAATAAAATGCTAATGAAAAGAATATGCCTGAAACTCTGTTCTTAGGCATCAATCCAAGGGCATTTCCGTGCGACCTGCTTCCTTCACTTACAGATTTCTGTTTCCATCCTGCAGCATCCTCTATGATCATGGGAAGCATGAAAACTTTTGTGATTCCTCCTCAAATGCTGGCTGATTTGAACCCACAGCTTTTATATCCCAAAAGAGACCCCAGTGTTACCAGGCATAAGATGCGTTCTCCTCCTGACAGACTCCGTGTAGCCAAATTCCTGAGCCCTGAAAGCATAGCTACAAGCCCATAGCATGGGCAATGAGCTGTGAGGGGAAGGTCTGGGTCTGGCAATTGGGACAATCACACTTTTGCCCTCTCCCACTGGTACCCCTTCAAGGCAAGGAGAGACCTTCACCCTGGGCAGCTGAGGGTGAGAATGTCTTGCTGCAGTTGGATCATGGTCCCACACCCCACAGAGAGACATAAGCACAATGACATTCAGAAATGCTTAAAATAGGAATCAGTCTAAACAGTTTGAAAGAGTAATTTAACATTTCCAGGACTAAACAAACAGTCAGATTTGAAGATTTTTCTTTGAATAGGCCTTTGGGTAAGTAAGCATAGAAAAAAAGTTGTTCAAAGTCTGTGATAAAATACAAAATTTGGGCTTTCAGGACAGGCTTTTTTTAAACTAAAAATAAAACAAAATCTTTTTATTATAAGTGGGTTTTAACACAGGATTCACTGAGATTTGTCAGGCTGAGAGGCTCAGCCTTTACAGTACACAGAGCATCACTGAGATGAGCTGTTCTTCACCCCGAACATTGTAATTCATGCTATATGACGTCCATCTTCATCTGTGCACACCATGAGCATAGCTAGCAAAGCAAACATAAATGTATGCACTAAAGCTACATAACATAAGCATTCCAGACATGTGTAACTAAGCCGCAAACATTTGATAGTTTTTACTATTTGACTCAGCCGAAGCAAACAGAATAAAAATCTCTTGTTTATTGTAGCACTTGCTTGAGTGCATGACAAACGGCAAAAGCATTTTCTGTTCTCCTAGGTGATTTCTCTGAACAATTGTCCTTTATCAGACTTTATGTTGTCTTGTAAAACTCTGCTTCTTATTGTGAAGGAAAAAGAAAAAGGAAGAAAGGAAAAAGAGAAAAGAAATGAGAAGGACAAGGGAGCAAGGGAGAAGGAAAGGAAGTGATGGAGGGGGAGAGAGACAACAAAGCTAACCTACAATCTGCATTTCTGAGTCTCACCTTTCAGAACTGGTAATGATCCGTGTACAATGCTGACAACTTTTGCTGACATCCTTCATGGATTTGAAAAGTTCAGTTTGCATAATATAGAAAACCATGTGCTGGCTAGTTCTTTCTTTAGATGCTATTATAATGCATCAGAGGAGAAGGAAATGGATGGCATAGATAGTACCATAATTTTCCCTGTTCACACTGTGAAAGCAGATGGAGTTTTGCACCCATTAAGAACAATTCTTCAATTCCAATAAGCCATTAACCCTTTCCTGGTTGCACTGAATATTTTCAGTGTAGCAATTCTAGGATTTGTGACTTAGGCAATATCTCACAAGTGGTATTTTTGAACACCACTTTTGAAATTCTCAGGTGTGGAGCATCCTTCATATGATAGTGGATTACGACTAAAGCCTTATAATCAGAGCCAAACTTGCAGTGCCTTCCTGCAGCCACTTACCCCCTCACTCTCAGGTTGTATTGCACTTCCAGGTTGATTTTGCAGACCACATGGAAAAATAGATTGTGCTACGCATGGTGCTGACAAGATCTATGAAGACTGTTATATGAAGTTTCCAGGAGCATGGGAATTTTCTGCTTCTGCTACACAGCTATGATGGGCCTAAATCACATGAAATCTAAGCACCCTCTTAGTCAACGGGAGATGGAAACTCCTGTCTGCTTTGATTCCCCTTCAAAGGTAGCAAAGCACAGGAGTGGACAGCTGATCTTGGTCCAGGCAAACAGGTCTCTTGTCTATAACTCTCCCTCAAACTGTGTCACAACCCCAGTTAGCTAAATGTTAACGGGACTCTACTCCAGCCTCTTCCCATGGATTTTATCCTGTTCTTTCACCTGGGAGCATAGCTCTGGGGAGAGCTCTGGAGATGGTCTTCTGACAGTGCGTGCCACTACAAGCAGCCTGCAGTCCAGGGAGGTGTCCTCAACCTGATTCAGCTTCTGCAGTAACCTCCAGAATGATTTTCCCCTAAACACATCTTGGTTCTTCTTCCTCATCCACATCTGAGACATGTCAAGCTACCTCTGATATAAAACCACTGGAGTGTTTTCCTGACAAGTAAATAACATTAGCAGAAAAGTAAAAAATACTAAAGGAAATCAGTAGTGCTAATTACTGCTAGCTACTGTATTGTGTAGGATCTCAGCAAAATTGTGAGGGATTTTTAGGTTAGCAAAGCAAACAAAAGTTTAAAACCTTTTAAGAAAGTGGTGATAGACAGCATTAATGGAAGTTTTGCGCTATTTTGCAGGGGATCAGAGCTATAGAAAATCCTACTCATTTTGCTCTTAAGAATAGTTGTAAGCCCTTTCAGTGTGATTACCCAAGGTTGTGAGCTACATCCTGCTGAAATCCATTTGTAAATAAAATTCATACACTTTTCCTAAATAAATAAAATCACATCACTTGATTATGGTTACAAGTTAAATAGAACTGTTTCCCAAGATACGTGCTCCCGTAGGATAAAATGATGCATCTCAGCAGGATCAAGCAATTCATTGCCAGCATTATATTGGCTTCTTCCTTAATTGTGAAAATAGCTAAAGATTGATTGGAATGAAGAATTGGTTTGGGCTTTTTTCATGCTTTTTTCTGTGGCTACTAAGACCTTAAAGCATTGAAATATCAAAATGTTTTTGTAGCTACTTATTACTACAAATTCAAAGGGGAATATTTTTTTTTTTTGTAATTTTGATTATAGCCAAGACACTAATGAAATTGTATGAACAAAAATTGTAAATGAAAAAAGTGTGGTAAAATAATGACATGGTTTGAATTTGGTTGACATATTAGCATTTGCAAGTGATAATGCAGCTATTAACTTCAGGTGGTACTACTCCAGCTAGAAATTAATAGCCACTGAGAAAGGAGATCTGCATTCAGATAAATGCCAAGTTCAGCTACTGAATGATTCAACAAAGTAGACGTTGGATGACACATTACAGAAAGTTGTAAAATACAGATTCTAATACTTGATATATAATCTAAATTTTTCTCACATAAATTAGACATATCTCAGCTAGCATCAGAAGACACGGTGACTGACTGATCATTGTTCTCCATGAAGGATTCTCTTTTTGTCTGTTTTTAACACTTAAAGCTGCCATTCTGTCCCTTACTCAGAATTCTGTTTTCTAGCCTAAACAACTGTTTGTGTACGTTCCTGGGCATGATGTCAATGGCCAGTCATAGGTAGAGAAATCAAGCATGTGCAATGAGACATCTATACCTTTGTGCACAAGTCTGATTAGCTGTGCTGCTGATGTCTTTACCTGGATATGGCAGCAGTAGCTCCTGTTTGAAATTCAGTAGCCTGAGGTCCTCTGTACCCAGAAAAAAATTACGCAAAAGTATGGCAAAAGCCAAGTAGGTTTTAAGCAAAATGTAAATCTCTAACTGCTAGAGGAAATCTTTCAGTATGATGTCTGAATGGTGGGTTTTTCAACATTTGGCCATTTTGCATTGCTAAACGACCTCATTTCTTTTTCATTTCATAATAACTATTTTCTAAATATTTTATCCTATTTTTGTGCTCTTCTGGACTCTTTGCAGTATAATCATATTCCTTCTGAACATGGGAGTGCCCAAAGAGATGGGGATCCCTGTGGATGCAATAGTATAGGCAGATGTAACTGATAAATCTAGATAAGGTCCCATCAGTTCCAAGTGCAATGCAATAATTACTTTAAACCTCACCTCTCTGTTCATACATTATTTTTTTTTATTACTTTTGGAGAAGAGGAGAGGAGAGGAGAGGAGAGGAGAGGAGAGGAGAGGAGAGGAGAGAATGAATATATGAGAGAATATATATCTCTGCTTTTTTGGAAAGTGACTCTTGGTTTTTTGAGTGCAGATTTTGAACATAGATGTATGCCCACACTACATACTTTTCTTGTAGGTCATTATCACCCTAATTTACTTAGGAGAATGTAACGGAACAAAAACCTTTCTAAAACCAAGATACTTTACTTTTATTGCTTCTTCATCTACTAGACCAAAGTCACTAGGTAATCAAAGAAGGAATTGCTTTCTTTGATGTGACTTGCTCCTGCCAAATTAGCATTGGCTGTTTCTTATTAAGTTATTATCCTCTAAATATTTTAAATTGATTACTTAATTATTTGTTTCAGTAGCTTTCTGGATATCAGAGCGAGCTTGACACATTTAGTTGA